CAAATCTACACACTAGGTGTTTACACTGTCGAAATACCGTCACAAACCCTTTTTGAATTAGCGTGTACATGTAGAGAGTTTTAACAATATTGGGTATCATCCATTTACATAAGCACCAACCTGTAGGACGGATACAGTTGAACAGCAGAAACCACACCAGTGATTCAGTTCGACATACATGTTGTTTCTGCAGATCGAGCAGGAGTCACGCCCACAAACAACCCAGGTGCAACTGCTCCCGTGCCCCTGGTTTATTTAGTAGATATTAATTAACGCCAATCCCAGTTTTTACAGTGTACTTAATTTCAACTTTCCTTCACTTCTAAAAATACATTTTAAAAATAGTCAATATTTGTGTTTTTGAAACATGGATTATATACCTAGTAATATTTGTAAATTAAGATATCTGTACAAAATATATGTTTTTCCTGCACGTCCTCTCCACTTGTCTCAGCTGGGCTCGGGTTGATCTCAAAGCAGCGGGTCTAAGAAGCAGTTAGCCAATCACTGATTACATTACATGTCATTTAGCTGACGCTTTTATCCAAAGCGATTTACAATAAGTGCATTCAACCATAAGGATACAAACTCAGAAGAACAAGAAACAAGAAAGTGCAATTTCCTCAAATAAGTCAATTTACAATTTGCTATAGCTGAGTGGCGTTATAAGTACAATTTAAGTGCTACAATTTGTTAGTCTTTTAGTCGAGGTAGAGTGTGAAGAGGTGTGTCTTTAGTCTGAAGATGTGAAGGCTCTCTGTGGTCCTGGTGTCTTCAGAGACCTCCTTCCACCATTTAGGAGCAGGACAGCAAAGAGTCGTGATCTAGTCAAGTGTTTTGCTCTCAGTGAGGGAGGGACGAGCAGTTTTGCAGATGCAGAGCGGAGAGTGTCAAGTCAAGTCAAGTCATTTTATTTTGTATAGCCCAGAATCGCAAATTACAAATTTGCCTCAGAGGGCTTTACAGTCTGTACACATACGACATCCTCTGCCCCGAAACCCACCATCGGCACAGGAAAAACTCCCCAAAAAATGAAAAAACCCTTACAAGAGGGAAAAAAGGGAAGAAACCTAAGGGAGAACGTCAGAGGAGGATCCCACTCCCGGGATGGACAGACTACAATGGATGCCATGTGCACAGAATGAACAATGTATAATACATGCAATTCCTATGACAGAAATGATTCAAGTAATTGTGAGTAGTAAGCCAGGCGCACAGCAGGACCACTGCAGAGGCAACCACCATCAGATAGAACCACCATCCACAGAAATCTGTGGGGAGGGAGAGCACAGAGATTTTAGGAGAGGGTAATGTCGGTTTATGAGTAAAGTAATATGATTAATATCTAAAATAATGATGATGATGATGATGATGATGGCAGCAGCAGGCGTCAGCATGGCCACGGTAGGTGTCAGGACCAGGGTCCCGAAGGAACCACGATCTATGGAGACCTGATAGGGGCGAAAGCACAAAAAAAAACTCCCGGAAAGAAGCTGAATTAGTCATGTGCATTAATAAAACTTGAATTATGGTAGAAAGAGAGCGTGAGAGAGGAGCTCGGTGTGTCCTAAGAATTCCCCCGGCATTCTAAGCCTATAGCAGCTTAACTAAGGGCTGGTCCGGACTAACCTGAGCCAGCCCTAACTATAGGCAGAATCAAAGAGGAACGTTTTAAGTTTTACTTTAAAAGAGCTAACCGAATCTGCCCCCCGGACTGAAAGTGGAACCTGGTTCCACAAAAGAGGAGCTTGATAACTGAAGGCTCTGGCCCCCAGCCTACTTTTTAAAACCCTAGGAACAACAAGTAACCCAGCATCTATGGAGCGCAGTTGCCTTGCAGGGCAATACGGTGCCACAAGCTCCCGAAGATACAACGGTGCCTCACCAGCAAGTGCCTTGTAGGTGAGGAGAAGTACCTTAAAATCTATTCTTGATTTAACAGGGAGCCAGTGCAGAGAAGTTAATACAGGAGTGATATGATCCCTTTTCTTAGTTCTTGTTAATACACGTGCTGCAGCATTCTGAATCAGCTGGAGAGGCTTAAGAGATTTATAAGAGCAGCCTGATAACAAAGAATTACAGTAGTCCAGTCTGGAAGTGACAAACGCATGAACTAATTTTTCTGCATCACTTTGAGACAGGAAGTTCCTGATTTTTGATATGTTACGTAGATGGAAATAGGCAGTCCTTGAAGTCTTCTTTATATGCGAGTTGAAGGTCATATCCTGGTCGAAGAGAACTCCCAGATTCCTGACGGTGCTGCTGGGTACCAGAGCAATTCCATCCATAAAAACTGTATCACGCGACAGCTGGCTTCGAAGGCGCTCTGGGCCTATCAGGATAACTTCCGTTTTTTCTGAGTTTAGCATCAGGAAGTTGCCGGTCATCCAAGTTTTGATGTCTCCAAGACATTCTTGGAGTCTAACTAACTGGTCCGTCTCTTCTGGCTTGATCGACAGATACAGTTGAGTATCGTCTGCATAACAATGGAAGTTTATGCGGTGTTTCCTGATAAGATCGCCCAAAGGAAGCATATAGAGGGTAAATAAAATCGGTCCAAGTACAGAACCTTGTGGGACTCCGTGACCAACATTGGTGGTCTTTGAGGATTCACCGTTTACAAGCACAAACTGGGATCGGTCCGAAAGGTAGGATTTAAACCAGCTGAGTGCAGTTCCTTTGATACCAATTAAATGTTCTAGTCTCTGCAACAGGATACAATGGTCTATGGTATCAAATGCGGCACTGAGGTCCAGCAAGACAAGAAAAGAGATGAGTCCTTGGTCCGATGCAAGTAGAAGATCATTCGTAATTTTCACCAGTGCTGTTTCTGTACTGTGATGCACTCGGAATCCTGACTGGAAATCCTCGAACAAAGCATTGTTTTGTAGAAAGTCACATAATTGATTTGCGACGGATTTCTCAAGGATCTTAGAGAGGAAGGGAAGATTAGAGATAGGTCTGTAGTTAGCCAACACCTCTGGAGCAAGAGTAGGTTTCTTAAGAAGAGGTTTAATTACAGCTACCTTGAAGGACTGTGGTACATGTCCTGTCAACAAAGACAGATTCATAATATCTAATAAGGATGTGCTAACTAAAGGAAAAACTTCCTTAAGCAGTTTGGTCGGAATCGGATCCAAGAGACAAGTAGAAGATTTAGACTTTGAAAATAAAGAAGTCAGTTGATCAAGGTTGATGGAAGAGAAGGCATCCAAACAGGCATCAGGGCCCACTGCTGCATCCAAGGTTCCTACATCGGAGGACAGGTCGGCACTGGTTGAAGGCAGGAGACCATCAATTTTCTCTTTGATAGTCAGAATCTTATCATTGAAGAAGTTCATGAAGTCGTTACTAGTGAGGTCCAAAGGAATACACGGCTCGACAGAGCTGTGACTCTCTGTCAGTCGGGCTACAGTGCTGAAGAGAAACCTGGAGTTGTTTTTATTTTTCTCTATTAATGATGAGTAATAAGATGCTCTTGCGTTACGGAGAGCCTTCTTATACATTTTAAGGCTGTCTTGCCAAACTAGCCTAGATCCTTCTGATTTGGTGGAACGCCATAATCGTTCAAGCTTCCGCACAGTTTGCTTTAGGCTCCGTGTTTGAGGGTTGTACCACGGTGCAGACTTCCTTCTTGTTGCTATTCTTCTTTCCAGAGGAGCAATAGCGTCCAGCGCCACTCTCAAAGAGCCTGTAGCAGTATCGACAAAATTATCGATCTGAGACGGACTGAGGTTTTCACAGGAGTCTTCTTGTATCTTGAGGCAGGGCACTGAACTTAGAGCAGAAGGAATGGCTTCTTTAAATAAGGCTACAGCGGTATCCGATAAGCGTCGACTGTAGAAACCTTTGGCAGGAGGAGGTGGTTCTGATAGTAGAAATTCAAAGGTTATCAGACAATGGTCCGACAGGAGAGGGTTCTGTGGAAAAATTGTTAAATGTTCAATCCCAATCCCATACACAAGAACCAAGTCGAGAGTGTGGTTAAAACAGTGAGTTGGTTTATTTACACACTGACAGAAACCAATTGAATCTAACAATGAAAGAAATGCAGTACAAAGGCTGTCGTTGTCGACATCCACATGAATGTTAAAGTCACCCACAATAATTACCTTGTCCGTGCGGGTCGGGATGTTGGGTTGGACCAGGTCCTGGATGTAAGCTGGACCCCATCCATTCACAGCATGGTACGTGAGCACCAGTGTTTAGAACTGGATGAGCCACCGGTACCAGTGAAGAGAGCGGAGGAGTGGAGGAGTGAGGGAGAACTTAGGAAGGTTAAAGACCAGTGGAGCTGCTGCATTCTGGATGAGCTGCAGAGGTTGAATGGCGGTAGCAGGAGACCTGCAGGAGAGAGTTACAGTAGTCAGGATCAGGATAAGGATTAGGATCAGGAATCAGGAAATCAGGAATCAGGAAACATTTATTTACCAAAATATGCCAAACATACAAGGAATTTGTCTTGGCGGTTAGTGTGCGACAGTAGACAGACAAGACAGCAGTGCACAAGTAATAAAATAAAATAAAATAAAGTAAAATGAAATGGAGGGAGGGAGATGACAAGAGCCTCAATCAGTACCTGCGCTGCCTTCTGAGTGAGAAGAGGACGTATTCTCCTGATGTTGTAGAGCGTGTATCTACAGGATTGTGTTGTCGCAGTAATGTTGGGAGTCAGGGAGAGTTGGCTGTCGATTGTGACGCCGAGGTTCCTAGCGGTTAAAGTGGGCGTTAGCACGGAGTTGCCAAAGTTGATCGTCAGGTCCTGGGTCGGAGAGTCTTTTCCTGGAAAGAGATCCGAGTGAGGGAAGGAGAGAATTAGTTGGGTGTCATCAGCATAGCTGTGGTAGGAGAAGCCACGCGAGCAAATGACAGCGCCGACAGAGTTGGTGTAGAACGAGAAGAGAACGGGACCCAGGACGGAACCCCGAGGAACGCCCCTAGTAAGAGGACAAGGTTCCGACACAGATCCTCGCCAGGTTACCCGGTATGTGCGGCCGTCGAGGTAGGACGAGAGAAGGGAGAGAGCAGAGCCTGAGACACCAAGTTCCTGAAATAAACATGTTTACAGTCTGGTACAAAAACAGTTTATTCTCCATAGCGGATTTTATGTAACTCACCAGTGATGTACATTTTTGAGAGCTATGTTGTCAAAAACATACCTTATAATGAGCTCAGTCTTCCTTTGGGGAATTCTTGACACGGTTAAAAGAAGCAGAAGCAGAAGTATGGGCTCAGTTAGGAGGGGCTGACTAAAGCAGGTGAATGTAAGCAGTCCCACAATGTCATGAATTAATCGTGGTTCATTATTTCTAATCCCAACATTCTGTTTTTAATAGAGGAAATGATATTGTATCTGTTTTGTGTTGTTACACGGAATTCTGTTTGTGTGAGGAGGATCATGATCAACTCAACAAAGGTTTCTTATTTTATACTTTCTGCCTACGTGGACACTGGGCTGTTGAAATACTTGTGGTTCATGTTCATCCTGTCTTTATATGTGTTAATAGTTTGTTCCAATGTGCTGCTCATTGTCGTTATCTGCATGAACAGAAGCTTACATGAACCCATGTACCTTTTCCTCTGCAGTCTGTTTGTAAATGAGCTGTTTGGTAGTACAGGCTTGTTTCCATTCCTTCTGGTTCAGATCCTCTCGGACATTCATACTGTTTCTTTTTCATCTTGCTACCTGCAGATTTTCTGTTTGTTTTCTTATGCCTGTATGGAATTTTTCAATTTAGCTATGATGTCTTATGACAGATATCTTGCTATCTGTTATCCTCTACAGTACAACACACGTATGACATTTAAAAGAGTTACTTTTCTTCTCACTGTTATCTGGTCTTATGCCTCCTTTTTATGTTTGGTTCCAGTCATATTGAGCAGCTCTTTACAGCTGTGTGGAAACATCATTAACAAAGTCTACTGTGACAACTACTCCATAAGCAAACTGGCCTGCTCTGACATAACAGCCAGCAACATCTATGGACTCTTTGCTACCGGTCTCACCATTGCATTTCCTGTTTCTCTCATCCTGTTCTCCTACATGAGGATCCTGAAGGTTTGTTTCTGTGGCTCTAAACAGACCCGACAGAAAGCCGTCAGTACCTGCTCACCTCACGTCGCTTCTCTGCTCAACTTCTCCTTTGGGTGTTTCTTTGAAATAATACAGAGCAGATTTGATATGAACGATGTTCCCAACATGATAAGAGTGTTTTTATCTTTGTACTGGCTCACTTGCCAACCTCTCTTAAACCCTTTTTTACATGGCCTGAATATGAAAAATATCCGCATCCGATGTAGAAATCTGATTTTTCTTTGAAAATAGATGACTTTCGATCATCCCGCAGATTTTCAGCTTTTATTTAAGTGCGTTATGCTTTACTATCAGAAAACGACTTATCGTATATATTGTTGAAACTTGTGCTTCAAGGGAACATTTAGATTCACATCATGTCAACTTGAGTAATATGTATGACTTACAGTTAGAAATGAGACTTAATTATATTTCATAGAAGGGGAGTAAAACATTTGTGTAGTTTGTGTGAATCTTTATGAACAAGTTCCACTCAATAAACATCTCAAGAATGCTTTTAGTTTTCATGTCTTTCTTACGGGACTTTTTGGTAAAAGTACAGCAGCCTGGCAAAGCAATAAGACTGGACATTATGAACTCTTTGCAATGAGGTCCTCTACTCTAGCAACCCATTATCGGTCATTTGATATCTAGATATGCTTGTTAGTCCGCTTACAGTTTTTTCTGATTGCTTAAGCAAATTTTTTGTAACTATTGGCTATTTTTGCAAAACTCTACACACAAATAAGAAAACCTTTCACCCAATTATCAAAACATTGTAGTTCTCTTGCAAAAGCGAACACAGCTAGATTAACTCTTCACACCTTCGTAAAAATTGTGTTTTCGTATCAAACAGTAAACACAAGCTATCATCTACTAAGCACACAATGTGCCAACTACACACTGATGGTATGAATACAAAACACTTTGTGTCTTCATTTTGCTTTCTCTGTGTACAGATGTCAATTTGAGGTCATACTTTTGTCATAGTGTCATGTAAACATACAATGATCCAAACTTCAAGTGTTGCTGTTTATTCACACATATCAAAACCAGGACAAAGTCGGAACACAAAATAGTTATTTCACAAAAAAAAAAAAAAGACAATCAGCCTACATCATGTCGTCTTTCTGGGTCCGGCCACATCGCATGCGATGTCTTCCAGTCCAAGGCACTGGGGAAAATATCTCCTTGAATGCCGTATCCAGGCCTGACATGATGCCTGGTCAATATCAGGATCAGGATCAGGAATCAGGAAACATTTATTTGCCAAAATATGTCAAACATACAAGGAATTTGTCTTGGCGGTTAGTGCGCGACAGTAGACAGACAAGACAGCAGTGCACAAGTAATAAAATAAAGTAGAATGAGATGCTAATGCAATGGGTTAGTAGAATAAGGCTAAGGCTATGGGTTAGTATGAAACAAGGGAATAAAGTTAAACATTTTAAATATTAAAAAGAAAAATATTACAGTTTTTGCCCGTTGCTTGAACACATTTTGTAAAATTTCGCTCATTGTGCCAAAACTCTACACACAGGTAAACATGACACAACACTGGGAAATATACCATTCACATCTGGGTCAAATTGAAACTGTACTATCAAAACCTAACATTCCTTTGTCAAAATGTAACTCTGATGACAAAAAGACACATACATGCATCATATGAATACACTTTCAGATCAGCAGCAACACACTAGTCTACTTTATATAAAAAACTGCAGTCTTTTGTTTTCAATGTTTTTATTCAATTCCACAGAGGGCATATTTTCACAACAACCAAAAAATGAAATACTGAATTCAAAATCATTACATTAGTATATTTTACAGTACAGTAAGTTCAGTTCAATCAAAAATAAAAACAATACACTACTGTAAACACAGAAAAACACAATTGTGCGCAGGCGGGCGCATGGATCCTGCCGTCTGTTGGGGTCTGGCCACAGGATCTCATCAACATCACAAGCGATGTCTTCTCTCGCTAAGCATCGGGGAAAACATCCTCTTGTGTTCCGAATCCATCCCTGGATTGACCTTCCCTCAATGTCTCCGCAGGCCTGTTCCATTGCCTGCAGAAGAGGCATACGGCCATGTGGTTGGCGGTCATATACGGCGGTCATATCTCCAAGCGAAAAAAATTCCTCTATAGGATTTAGAAATGGCGAGTAAGGGGGCAAGTACACAACTTCAAATTGATCATGGTTGGTGAACCAGTTCTGGACCAGAACAGCCCGATGGAAACTAACATTCTCCCAGACAACAACAAACCTGGGCTGATCTGGTCCATCTTGTACAATTGCATTATGAAGTGCATCTAGTAATGTGATTATGTGTTGCGCATTATAGGGACCCAGTTTGGCATGATGGTGCAGTAGCCCTCGAAGACTTATGGCAGCACACAATGTTATATTTCCCCCGCGCTGCCCCGGGGCGTGCAAAATTGCCCTTTGGCCAATTATATTACGTCCTCGTCGTCTGCTTTTGCTAAGGTTGAATCCAGCCTCGTCAATGTAAATACATTCATGTGGCTGGACAGCTCCATCCATGTCCAGGATTCTCTAACAAAAACATACATATTGTGGATGGCTTTACTCAAAAGCCATCCACAGTCTGAGTAGAGTATACAGTTGAAGACATACCGGTTTTCCAGTCGGAATGTCCTTATTATGGATGCAACTGTGATACGGCTGTAGGATGGACTCTCTGCCCAGCTTCCCTCATAGTCAGGCCACGGTTTATGACCTGGTCCACCAAAGTTGCTCTTATGTCATCCGAAATAATGGTCCTTGTGTGGCCTCTTCGACCACGTCCTCCCCTCTGTCTCGGTCTTCCTCGTCCTCTGCCTCTAGCTCTCTGCCTCCATGCTTGCAAAGTTCTCAAAACGTGTTACTGCAACTGGGGCCTTTTTGTACCTGGCTGTTTAGTGCTCAGTTTTTTCAGGTGTGTGTCGAAGTCTTTTCAATTAACCAATGTGTGTTGTATTTTGAATAGATGTGTTTTCCCAATGGTACCCTGAGATTTAATTTTTGAACTAAGTGTCTTATATATGAAATAGTTTGTAGTGTCTAGGAGCAAGTGTGTTGCAAAAAGGAGCAAGTGTGTTACAGAATTGCAACTAAAGTGCAAAGCAGCGCTTTTGTTTAAGGTATGGTTACACTTTGTTTAAGGTATAGTTACAACAACTTCAAGTTATGTTACTTTTGTTCAAGCCTGTGTCTATAGTGTTCAAGCAATGGGCAAAAACTGTAAGCATAAAGTGCACTAACGAACAAGTAACAGACAAGTGACAAAGTGACGAGTGACGAAAAAGTGATGAATTGCAGTTAAAGTGGCATGTGCAGTATGAAGGGGAGTGCCTCCTCCATTGCCTGTAAAAGGGCTACCTGTTGATGAGGATGACGGTCGTACACCTTCCAGCGCCAGGCAGAGAAGAACTCCTCGATGGGATTTAAGAATGGAGAGTATGGAGGGAGGTTGAGTGCCATGAAGAATGGGTGGTCTGTAAACCAGTTGCGGACCAAAGCAGCCCTATGGAAACTAACATTGTCCCATATGATGACATATGGGGTATGCTCCGGTCTCTGTGAGCATGTCATGTAAGGTGTCCAGGAATGCAATAATGTGTGCAGTGTTGTACGGGCCTATGGTTGCATGATGGTGAACAACACCATTTTGGCTTATAGCTGCACACATGGTTATGTTACCACCACGTTGTCCTGGGACATTGATGATGGCACGGTGTCCAATAATGTTCCTGCCACGTCTCCTGGTTTTACCGAGGTTAAAACCAGCCGAATCTACAAAAAGTAGCTCATGTCCGATGGCATCTGCTTCTAGTTCCATCACTCTCTGGACAAGACAAAACAAATGCAACACATCAGGCCCATGCACAGCACTACAGTATGCACTTCCAAATTCAGAACCAATGACACTATAGCTTACCTGCACATAGTCATATTGCAGTTGCTTTACACGTTCTGTGTTTCTCTCGAAAGGAACTGTAAATTTGCTTTATTCTTATTCTGTGCCGCGCAAGTACACGATTTAGTGCAGAAATGCTTACACTGGGTATATTTTGAAAGATGGTGTCATTATCAATTATGCGCTGCTGTATTTCGCGGAGTCTTATTGCATTATTGGCAATCACCATGTTCACTATATGGGTCTCTTGCTCTGGAGTGAACATTCTTCCTCTGCCCCCAACATCTGGACGTCTAGCAATTCTGTAAAGTAACAATTTCAGTATTTATGGTATTATGTGTGGTACTGTTGTGGTTCCCATTCGAGTATGGCAGTGCTACAAAGTACTTACCGATTCTCATTTCGAAATGTCCTAATGATACTTGCCACAGTGTAGCGGCTCAAATTAGGCTGAACCCGTTGGCCAGCTTCCCTCAGGGTCATCCCATGGTTGATGACATGGTCCACTATTGTAGCTCTGATGTCATCAGTTATTCTCTTTCTTACTCTTCTCACCCTTCCTCTTTCTCCTCCTTGTCCTCTTTTTGCTCCTCCTTGTCCTCTTCCTCTAACATCCTCTAACCCTCTCGCTTCTTCAACTCCACGTCCTCTTCCTCCAACTTCTTCACCTACACGTCCTCTCCCTCGGCCTCCTCGGCCTCTGATTCTCACTCTTACTGCTCCTTCCACTGTACTCACCGACAGCTCGCCTGTGGCTTATTTATAGTGCTTAGGCTGATTACAAAGTGAACTAATTATCTAAAACAGTTTTCACATGTGAAAGTGTGCCAGACAGTTGGCAAAATAGTGTTAATGATAGCCATACATGTGTATAATTTTGCTAGGAGTGTGTTGGAAATTTGGTTGAGTGTAAGCAGTGAGTTGTGTTTAAATTTCTGCAAAAAGAGTGTTGTGCAGTGAATTGTGCCAACAGTTTTGCAAAGTGTGTGTTACAAAATTGCAAACTGAGTGCAAAGCAGTGTTTGTGCTTTTAGTTTTGCAAACCCCCGAGTTGGTTGATGAGAAGAATCGCAACACGTTGATCAATTAAAGTCAAAAAGTTAACATTTATTTAGAAGAGAAAAAGATTACATGAGCAATTCTCCGCAGATATCTGGCTCTAACTATTGCTTGCAAGCAGGAGGTCAGACACACAAGTACGTATCTCAGCGTTCGGTGTAATGACGTCTCCGAGCAGTAAAAACGCTGAGTTTTTATACACATGTGAAGGCCAGTGCCGGGTACGAGAAGCTACAAATCAGGTTGAGATAAGAACCCAGGTGAAGCTGAGGGTAGCACACACACAAGATCCTCCTCAGTGGTCGGTGCAAATCATAATTAATTGACATAGATCCGAGAACTTTCGTACCGAATAAGATATGAACCAAGGCCATGAACAGAAGTCCTTTGTTTTGAAGCGTCTATGAGATCGAGTTGACCGCTCTCCCTTCTCAGGACACAGCTGCAAACTAACATTTTGTATCATGTTGCTCCTTCAAATACAGGACACTTGAGACACGGCTTTAGCACAAAACAATGTTATAATATATT